CTCTCTCTCTCTCTCTCTCTCTCTCTCTCTCTCTCTCTCTCTCTCTCTCTCTCTGTGTGTGTGTGTGTGTGTGTCTGTGTGTGTGGTGTGTGTGTGTGTGTGTGTGTGTGTGTGTTTCAAACTCTCAGTCTCTCTTTCCTATCCACCCTTCTCCTGCGCTCCCGCTAGAGCAGCAGCGCCCCAGCCCCAGCCTTGTGGAGATTTGCTCGTTGCGTGCTCCAAAAATTTAGCACCTCGGGCCTCTCTACTGGACCGCAATGTCTGGCAGAGCCAGCAAGATAAGAAAAAAAGTGCAGCCCCGACGGTTCGGAAAAGCTTGCGCACACTGCAGCGCCTACATGTCCAGGTGTACTGGTGTTTTAACAAAGCCCAAGGCAGAATGAATGCACGGCGCTGGGGAGCTCCTGCTTCTTCTGTAGTGAGTGTTTGCCTTAGGTTGCCTCCACGAGTGGCTGCGATTTCCAGATCTGTATGGCCGAGAATTTGTTTCAGTATGTGCATTGACCAGCCGCTCCTGGTAGCTTCCACAAACCATGGTTAGGCCGGACCCCAAAACCGGACTAGTCCAGACGTCGGGTAGTTTGAAGCAGAGCCTTTGGATTGAATATGACTTGCGGCTTTGGTTGGTTGACTCTTGACGACTGAGAAATCTTTGACTTTTTTTCTTTCTTTTTTTTCTTTCTGTACCTTGATATGTCTCTTCTGGCTGTCACTCCATCGGGGGAGGGGAGGGGGGGGAAGGTCCAGAGTCCAGAGCGGTGCTTGTACGAACCTGTGTTGTGCATTCAGGAGTTAGTGGATCGCTTGGGGTAATACACAGGGGCTAGCTTGTCTGTGGAAGATCTTACCGTGGTATCTAGTCGAAGATATGGTCGCACCTATAGATGGACCCTGCTAGAATTGGAGGAACTGCTCGATAGGAGTATTGTACATGGTATTGAATGAGCATTGAAGAACCCCCATTCAAACCCCTGCTTGAACCTCGCTGGTACATAGCAAGTACTTGACTATACTGTAATACGCAGGCCCAGAGAACCCTAGGTTTTTCTACTCCCTCCCTCTCCCTAGGGAGGCCTCTCTCTAGATGTCTGGGTACCATGGGTTTCCCGGTTTGAAGAAGGCCTTCATAGTGGAGGGGAGTCACAGTGGGCAGTATGTCTAGAGTGTGTTACCGCTTGTGTGTCTTGAACCACGGGGGTAGAAAGGCTGTCTCATCTCTGGGGTGGGGGGGGGGGGGGGGGGGAGGATTACAGGAACCTTCTGGTTGGTAAGGGCTGAACAGTTCGCGGTGCTTAATGGGGGGTTGGCTGCTTATAGCA